TTTTGCATAAGTTAAAACATTTGTACATTATAACATTACAAGGAGGTTTACTATTCGTTATTGTTAATTTACATTACAAATTTAATGTTTCTTTTCTTTCTTTTTTGCTGTGTATTATGTTGTTAATACCTCTTATTACCCAACATGTCCAACAACAATTAACTTTCATTTCCATATCTTTTTTTAAACGTGCCAGTTTGTGCATTTCATGTCTATACTTTATTATTAAGATCGGTCCGATAACGACAACCAGATTGAAAATTGCTAACTTTCTAGTACATGTAAAGAAGCAAGTTAATAGTGAAAATGTTACGTATACCTAACACAAAAATGCATATATAACTGTTACAATACTCTTTGAGATATTGCTTTCGGAGAGAGTTTCTAAAGAAAAACTTTTCATGCTTCCTATTCATTCCGTACAATTAATTATTTGTCAATTATCATATAAATGAAATAATAATAAAATATTGTTTAAACTTAATCACTTGATTTTCATGATAATTGCCAAACAAGATTAAATTAGATATACATCTCTCTCTCACTCTCTGTTCTTGTTTAACGTAATTTCCCCTTATTGTAGGCCTAATAGTCATGTTATATCCATATGCTTTATAATTTGTAAAACAACATTTGAAAGAATAAATTTATAATCTTTTGAAAACGTTTGGGTGCAAAGATAAAATTCAAAAAAACTTTATTTTGCCATAATTTGGGTCAATGTGACTCACGGACATTTGTATGAATATCGTTCGGAATGTATAGATAACGTCAATTTGAAAAGGTAGTGGGACAGCCTTTACGTTTGGGTTAGTTTTTATATGTTCTCTTAAATAGTTTTCATTATCAATCAATCTTAAAACATCCTTATAATAGCAAACTCTTGAAATATGTAACTAACTAAACTCGACAGCGATAAAATGAAATACTCCAATATCATTAATTACGACACAAAATATAAATCTTTTATTTTCAGTTGTGGCAACCAGCGACGATGACTTTGTAATGGCATTGTCATAATTTCGTGTACATATTTAGGTGTAGATTTGTTATTTGATGTCAAACTGTAACATCATTTCTAATGTTTACGTCTTATTACTTGACATTATTTGTAAAGTTATAAAATGTATGTACGCTATCCTAGTCAAAGTAAATTAACTGCACACTTTTATTTTATGTACAATAACAAAAAATAACTAAAATTAAAAAAATTCAATACATTATCCAAGATATGATAACTACGTATACTTCCCTCTGTAATGTTATAAAAATAGCACATAATAGGCCTGTTTTAGTTTTACAATGAAGGATATATTGAGGTACAATAAAAGTCAATACCAACATTTCACTGGAAATATATCAATTTGTCTGAAAATTAACGTATATCATTTGTAACGTATAAAGTCTGATAAAATCCACAAGAGGAAATAATAATGTCATGATTTTCTCCTTTAGATACAATCTGTAAAATTGTTTGTGTGATTTATATGACGCGGAAGTATTTAAAGGTAATGATGTTATCAGGCAAATTGATTTTGACCTGGGAAAGAATTATGAGCTGATAAATACGATATACATTTCAAGAATCGTGTGTAAGTAACTTGCCCAGCTGTTGAACAAAAAGCGAGAATTCTGTTTTAAAGCAGTTGAAATATCACGATATTAATGTTTTAGAATAAGATTAAATTGACAATATGTTTGTATCAAATTAATTGAGCACTTGGCTTGCAAAGTTGCATTACTGGATGAATATTTCTTTGAATATGTAAAAGCGCTGTTTCTTTTCTTTAGTCCACTGAGATAGATTTCTTGTTTTTCCTACTTTATGCTTACAACCGTGTTGTTTGTGCCGTGTAGCGGCCCGTAAAATATCTCCCCGTATTTTCATTCAATGTTGTTATATTTTCATCCTCAAGGGATTGTTCGACGTCCAGTGTTGGTTTCTTCCTCCAATTCCTATCTATCCGGTTTGGTGTCCCGATTTGGTCCTGTATGTGGGGTTGTGTTCATTGAATGCCGCCATCCTTTTTGATCTTTGTTTTACATATTCAAAAAGAAACTTTTAAAACCTGTGACATATTCTCAGAGAAAATGTCGAAGGAAGAATGCTACTGGTGCCTGTTGGTCAATCAAGGTGGCCTGAAGGGTTAAATGTCAGCATTCTAAGCATCTTAGAATTAAACATTTAAAATAGCAGTATAAAACATTTAAACAAGGTAATGGTGTTTATTTAAGAGATTTGTAACACCAAAGTTGTAGCCCTGCGCTTGTTATTATATAATCTTAAATGTTTGTGTCATTCAATGGAAACCGACGTTTGGCCTTCAATTAAAAGATATTAGTGGAACTAAATGAAATGTAATTTTATTAAGAATGAATTAGGGATCATTCTGAAATCTATGTTTTCAAAGATAGAAGATCAGGCAACAAATCAAGGGAAATAAATCAGTTTTTATGTTCCAAACATTGAGCCATCCCACGAGTCTATAATTTTAAAGTAAGTTATGAACCTTACATGATTTATTGTAAATATGTCCATCGTTTAGGCACGTCTCAGATGTTTTTTTTCCACATAGTAATTATTACCTCCCCTAGTCGCCATTTGTAGCGTCATTCATAATATATCATATGTTTATTGATATATTATGCTCACATTTGATATTCGAAAAAAAGTAATATTTTCCATACAGTCTCAATAAGTTTCTGGAATAAAAGGATTCTAACTAAAGATGAACATAGTATACCTTTAAGATAAGATAAAAATTTCTCACAATTCTATCGTCTTCATGAAATCTGATGAAATTTTACATGTTGGTGTTATAATAATATTTTACTGCATATATATAAAAGAATTTGACAATTAACTTAACTCATATTTTGTCAAATATATGATATAACAATTGACCACAAAAATGGCTTCCACCTTTTGCAAGGTTTGTAAATATTGTAAAAAATCGAGAAACAACAATATCGAAAATATCATTACTAGATATCGGTTTATATTGGAAATTAAGATGACAGTGGCAATTAGATGGTCTGCCAAATATTTGACAATTTGCAATACAAATCAATAATATTTCGAGTGCTTATAAATGCCAGGAAATGTTTAAACCGGTATATATGCCATTATAAAACCAAGTTAAATCACTAATTATTTTGGACTTTTTTCTTTAAGAATTCTATAATTGTATATTTTTCGTAGTTCATATGTCTAGACTATTTTTTTTATTCATTTTAAGCAAAATAAATGAGGTTTGTGCTTTTTATTGTAATAATATTTTGGACATAGACGTTAATTGGTGACGGGTGAAATGATGGGTTGTAGATTATCGCCAAAGAAATATCATTTTTAAATCATATTAACAATTTGCCATTACATTGACGTATTCCTTTATTTTCGTCTGCTATTTGAAAGGCCCCTCATTACTTCCTAATAATACGTACATTGTTAAGAGCATGCTAGTTGTTAATCACCTGAAGAAATAACTGCTGAATATAAAATTGTTTGTCACACAAGAAGCAAAATGTAAACAAAGTACTATTAACCTGAATCCATTTTGCTTGTGTTGTTTTCTGGTTATAGGTACACGTGTAGTGTCAGTATTTTGTATGGATTTCATTTTGGTGATTGTATTACAAATAATTTGCACATGCAGTGTAACTTTCATCGGGTAATAAGTATTTTACATGTTCTTTCCTAACAAAGGAAAAAGTATTCATTTCGGAAGCAGAATGTGCCTTTAAGTATATTGACAATAGTGATACAAAACAAACGACATTTTTTGCGCAAGTTCGTCCTCTTGACAAATGACATTTTAACCCCCTTATGGTATGTTATGATTACAATTTTCGGTTTATCGTACAAAATTTGTTTCGCAAACGCTATAAGATAATAAAAGTAACATTTTCTATTTTTTACATTTAGACAACGTTATTAAGGTCGACCCATAGTTTATACTGAAACTAACCGTTTACGACGTCAATAATCATTAATGTATTTTTCTCTACGAAGCAAATGACAAAACTAACAATCTTCTTTCAGAACTCCGCTGGTAAGTGGCTTAAACATTTAAGTGAGTGGTTTAAACATTTAAAATGATGATAAAAGTTACTAACTTTAAATTTCAGGTATTTAAAGATTAAAAGGAGTTAATTTCATTGAATGTCAAATTAATGTTAAACAATCAAACAGTTACTTGAGCAAAGACACTCCATATACTTTTGAATATGTAAGACATTGTTTTTTAAAAAAGATTATTAATCGTTTTAAATTAAAGGTGTAACTATAAATTTTATTAGATGGTGTAAAAGCTTAACTACATTACATTATTTTAAAATTACTAATTAGATTTATTGTGCTTTTCCTTAGTAAGTAAATTCTCACCAGTCATTTCAATCAATATTGTATAAGAATTCAAAAAATATATTTATTCATTTTGTGCTTTTAAGATAAATTAGTCAAAAACATTATGATTGTTCACCTTGAATAAAGAAAGGAATTATTGGTCACCCCTGGTGTTTTATTTTTCAAAACATGTAATCAACATATGTTGCCACATAACAAAACGGATTAATTTCCATAGCGACAGACATTTAAAGATTGCACAATGGGAAGTTATCACGCGCCGTTATATCTCCCTGTAAAATGTTAATCTCTCTGTTATTACTGAGTGTCTATATCTACGGAATGATATAAAGGCCATCATATAAGTGTGTAACTCTAAGACGCCATACTCGACAGTACTATAATAATAAAATGGTAGTACAATTACGATACTACGACAGTACGATAGTGACAAAACGTGACAATACGATATCAAGATAATGATAATACGATAGAAAGTCGTGTTATCGTTCTGTTACATTGCCGTCAGTATACTGTCGCGTTGTCGTATTATTACAATATGGCGTTATCGTACAATCGTACTATTGTGTTATCGTTTTGTTGGATAGAGGTGTATAAGATTGTGTTGACAAGCAATAAAACAACAACAATTAAGTTTACATCATGTTAAGTTTAATTTGCAAACCGTATGGTATTCATTCGCGTTATATGTACATAATCAAAACTCCATGACTCTTCCAAGCAAACAAAGTTTACCTTTAAAGTAAAATATCTTCATTCGACATATGAACATGATGTACTTGTACATATATGTTTTGACATATAGGTACAAATCTTATATAATATGAACGTAAGTATAGTATTTGACATAAATGTACGTATATCATATGATATAAATGTGCGTATATCATATGATATAAATGTACGTATATTATATGATATGATATATTATATGATATAAATATACGTATATTTTATTATATAAATGTACGTTTATTATATCATGTATATCTACATATATTAAACAAATTATAAAGTACGTTTTATAAATAATATTAATGTACTTCATTTATATAATATTAGTGTACTTCATTTATATGATACAAATGTACATACACTACATGATATATATGCAGGTACGTGTTATATATGATATAAATTTACGTAATATATATCATATAAATTCACACATTGTATGTGATATGAATGTTCATATAATATATAAAAGCTACATTTAATAAATTTCATTAAAACAGAAATAGCGACATTTCATTAATAAATTGCGTTTCATATCGACTCCATATCTTATTTTGGTGTCCAGACAACCGAAATGAGTTTTATAAGCAAAAACATTGAGCAACCTCATTGTGGCGAAATCGGAAGTACAATTCCTGTTTGCATGAGAAACTCCGCCTTCAGATCATCCGTACATCAATTTTAAATCAACAAACATGATTTAAAGAAGCAGTCCTAATTTAACGTTATATTTCCGCATTGTAACGAATGTTTTCTTACAAATTTAATCTTTTTTATGAGATGATTAGTTTTTTCTGAACCCCAGGCCTAGTGCACCGTGAAGCCAAAACGGTTCAAGTGTGTTTGCACAAGAAAATCTCACATTTGCTGTGCTCCGGATAGCAACTATATAACTGTGACGTAGCGCATACACGAGCTGATTATAGTCTTCATTTGCATTTTAAAATTGGTATACGAACTTTAGTTTAACCGTGGGGTTTACCGTTTAAAATCCTAACTTATTAACAATATTTGATGAGATTTACAACAATACTGTTAAAAAGGTTAATGAAACTATAGAATGCTTGATTTTTAGGCCGACGGCAAAATATTTTTACATATTTATTTAATGTAGCTTTAAATAAATGTACATACATTATCAGATAAAAATGTACATGTATGATATCAATGTATACGTATAAACTATATATTATAATATAAGTGTACATATATAATATGCTATTAATGTACATATATTATATATTATAATATAAGTGTACATATAATTATTATACGGTTATAATGTATATTTTACTGTATATTAGAAGTGTACATATATTATATGATATGATTGTTCTTGTATTATATTATATAAATGTATATAATTATATATTATTGTGTTTTCATTCATAAAATATGATTACATTTTCATAAACATATTCACATCTTGAGCAATTTCAGATATTTCATATACATAATATATATCATACACTTAGAATGAAATGTGCTCCGAGTTGAAAGATCAATAAATGAATGTTCAGTGTCCATGCATAATAAAATAAACTAGAACCAGGACAATGTCTCTGATTATAATTAAAACGCCGTAATTCTTTGTTGAGATATATAATCAATATAAACAAAAATAAATCAACATCTATGTGAGATCTTTGATACACTAGGTCGCTTCACACCATATCTTGACAAACTCTGAAAAATAAACCACAAAAAGAGTTTGTACTTATTGCTATGAATATAGGTATGCATTCTACGTAATAATATTTACATATTATTTTGTTTTCACTCATTTCATCCAGTTGTTACATGCCTCATACTCATGGAAAGTTGACAGAATTGTCATCAAAATATTGCTTTTCCTGAAAATGTAAGAACATAAACCTCCTTACCTTCATAATTAATCTTTCCGTCCCCATCAACATCTGCTTGCTTCATCATATCTTCCAGTTCCTTGTCAGTCAAACATTCTCCTAATTTCTTCATGGCCACTCTAAAATATGTTATTAAATAAAACCTTATAAAACTGATGACAAAGTTGTTCATGTATTTGATTATATAAAGTAAATTTCCATACAGATAGTCCATGAAGCATCCGTGGCAAAGTGGTTAAGGTCGTTGACTTTTGCCATTCTTTCTACAATATAAACTAACCAAGTTAAAATAAGTTAAAATCAAAGAAGTAAAATATAGAAACCGTACATGTTTAACCTCATCAATGTTTTTACAATATATTTAAAATATCTCTAAGTTTTATAGATTCTGATTTTATCTTATCTAACGTTAAAGTACCTCAATTCTTTGGCATCTATGTAACCATTTCCGTCTTTATCAAACGTTCTGAAAGCTGATCGTATAACTTCTTCTCTTTGTGAGTAGTTCTCGTCATCTATGAAAAACAACAGTTACAACAAAGTTAAGACAGATTTGTTTTATAAAATGTAAGTCATATTCAATATACTGGCCATGATCACCGGTATAACAGTTTTATATCATTTTATCGGACATAGAAATCTGGGGATTCTTTCTCATCGTAGTATTGCAGCTCGTATCATAGCACTTGGAATATATGTCAACCTATATTGTATTCATATCTTTTGATTGAAGTAAACCTTACCTGGAATGATTTCGTACTGTACGAAAGAAATCGCATTGTTTGAAGCTTATAACAGCTCCATCCTTGATACCAGATAGAGTGTACTGACACTTGAAATGGAAATAAAATAGCTACATAGTGGAAGTGCAACGTGCACGGGCTAGCTGTTATATGTATTATTTCTTCTTGGCTAGTTTGCCAGTTGATTGGTTACAAATGATTATACAATAATTTGTTTCAGGTTTAATTAACTAATGTTTTAACAGTAATGTGCTTGAAAGATAATAAGTGGTCCTTGAACTTGATATAAAATTGGGGTGACACTTCATGGCTATTTGATATATAGAAAAACCACTTGGATATCGAGTTTTTAATACTTTAGTGATAACAATTACACCTAACGCAATGTTTAATTGATGCAATTGATATACTGCGTAAATAGTGCAAGAATCCAAGTAATTTAACTAAAATATTAATAATTTATTTCTGTGGTGTTGACACTTCGGCAGCTGAACAGAGACTGACTGTTCGCAGCTTTGAGCTCTATTTATACCCAATAATGTATTTATATTTAATGAACGTTTATTAATGTTGAGGAAATCAAGCAGCCAAGAGATATTGATATTGGGTCGAATATTGGTAGGAATGGTATTGAGTTCGAATGATTTTAAAGACAAATTGTTCTGATATTTTAGAAATAATAAAAATATGCCCGTTATATCAAATAATTTCTACGGATAAGTTGTTAAATCTAATCATTTAATTTTTATGTATTTAGTACTTACTTATTAAAGATTAATCTATACATTTAAACACAAGATTACATATGTGTTTACCATTTAACTTATCGGCAATTTAGGTATAAAACCACTGAAAATCATTATAGAATCTAGGCAGAATAGAACAAGCGTCACAGAAGTAATATTCTCTCGTCTTCAATTCTTAATTTTTTTTCTTCTGCATTCGGTTTCCTTGAAACAAGAAATAACACGTAAATTGAATAAAAAAAATATACATACTGACTTTTGCCATCTCCTGTTGCATAAATGCGTAAAATTCTTGAAATTCAATCCTGCCGTTTCCTGAAATGTAATAAAATAAATGGTTATAATTACTCTAATTTTCGAGATAGCTTTTTTATTGGATAAGGACATCCTGGTAATATTTAACAAAAATGGGAAAAGCATGAAAATGGAAGAAATTGGATATGGTGAAGGTTATATAGCTGATTGTTATGTGACAAACTCTTAAAACCAGATTAGTCAAGTTTGAGAACTTTAAATTAGCAGATGTTGTTTCTTTTTTTTTGACATAGCATCATTATTCATTTATAGAATTAATATGAAAATTTGAAATGAATTCATTGAGGCATAATTTTATTTAGATTATTCTATTATGAGCTACATAATTAGGGTTTTTTGCTTTCACAAGTGCATGCAATGCAAGTATTCTAAATTCAAAATTTCACCATTTCATGTTTAAATGTTGAATTCTGCTTAAACCGGTGCTAGCGGGCGTGAACAGTAGCTTGCACTTTCTAGTACCGTCCATGAAAAGACTCAATCGAACCAGGTCTGCAACATTTTCAATTTTGCCTTTTTAAGCATTCTTTAGGGATTCTAGTATTTCACCAAAACGGACTATAAATAACTTTGCATAGTCAGTTATGATAAATCTGTTTGTTATGAATAGAGAAAATAAGAATCCCTAAAGAAGTCAAACTGTTGTGTAACAAGTATAACATTGCGTAAGTGATTTTCATTATGTTGCAAACAAATATTCTACCAATTTCAGACAGCCCAGTTCAGCTGTATACTGTAACAATACATAAAACAACATAAATAAATTAACTGTGGTGGCATGGCCGAGTGGTTAACACGCCGGATTAGTAATCTACGGATTTCTTTCTACGTATGTTCAAACCCCTCAGGGGCAAGCCGTTGTTTCTTTCAGCAAGAAACTTTACACTCGTTGCTCAGTACTTGTTGGTTCCAGGAACGGATTCTAGAGTGTGTCTGAAAGCGTTAAGCTTTCTACACAATCGAAATATAAATAAAATTTGTACTACCGTTAACATCAAGGGTCCTCATGGCGTCCGACACCTCTTGTTGTGTTGGGCTCATACCGAGAAACCTCATCGCCTTGCCAAGTTCCTGTGCTGATATCGACTTATCATTGTTCGTATCAAATAATCGGAACAACTCGCGTATTTCTGTAAATAGTATTATAAAACCTGTCTGTTATTTGAGGGATATTGCATTTGTTATTAAAGTGATTGGATGAAGTTTGTTATTTATAATTTATAAATCATGTTAATTAGGCACAAAGCTTTTGAGACACAATGATAAGGTTATCAAAGTAAGGTCAATTTATTTATTAAAATCGTTTATATTTGATAGATGACTTACAAACATTTTACTGTGTACAAGGTAGTATAAAAATGTATTGTATAATTTCAAGAACTCATAAAATAACAAAATATATAATTCTTAAATTCCAATAATGATGTGTGTGAATATATATAGTTTAGGTTATATGGTAACAACAGAACACTGGTAAATACAAAAACAATATAAGCGCGTTAATATATATTCGAAACATAAGTCTGATTATCATATGATAAAAGTAAGGGAAATGCTTAACAGATGTTATGAAATTGAAAAGAATGCAAGATTAAAAGAAAATCTTTGTAAGACAATAATTGGATAGAGTCAGATTAACAAGTACAACTGTTATGTAACAAGAAATTTGCTTTACGCGGAAAAACATGATACGTAATAATACAAAAGCAACTTAAATTTTATAAATATACTCTTTTAACAAAATCTGAAAGCATAATATTGTATTGCAAACATGTAAACTACACAAAAATATTTTTCCTTAGAATAAAAATAAAAAAACATGCACAAAATTATATGAACATTCCACGTCAAAAGCTAAAAAGAACGGAACAAAACTTAAGCTCATAACAATGTTCACTTCACAAATATACACAACAGTTTGTTACACCTTGCCTGATTCGAAGTTTTTCTCCGCTTTATCTGTTGCATCTAGACCTTGATGAAATGTGACAAAATGTCTTAGTTCAGTTTAATGATTTATAACATTAACAAGTTCATTTTAAGCAATAGGTGTGTTTATGCTATAAATCAATATATGTCAAAGTTAAAAAACATAGATGCCATAATTAAGCTAATAATACATTGTTTACATGGCCATCAGTCAGTCATGCGTGACTTTTCTTAAAACATCTAGTAAGTGTCACATTGACAATTCTACAACAACAGATAGTTTGTAGCTATTTCTTTAGTTTAGCTTGTTTTCATGTTATTGTTGAATTGTTTTTAAGACGGTGCTAGGAAGGGCACTTGTGATAGCTTCTGTAAGCCATTTAATGTCATAAACATACCCCGATAAACAAAGCATGCACCAGTCATATTGTTGCCTCGTTGAGGCATCCTGTAATTGATCATTTCGGTTATTCTTATTCAGTTCTATTATTTTATTAATTTACTGTTTATTTTACATAGTAATATTCTGAAAGAAAAGCTATGCTCACCTTCCCGCATTGTTCTTTCACCAGAATCCTTGCTTCGCTTACTACCACTGCTAGCCTGGAAAAACAAATATAAATACATTATCGAAAAGTTTGAATAAGGTGGTATAATAGTTTAAAAATATCATTCAATTTAGGGAACTCGTACTTTAAACAGTTTAGTTTCAATATGGCTAAATATTGCAAGATGTTTCAAATTGCTATGATACATAACGCTGTACAATTAAAGCAAGCTTATGATCACAGCGCAAAATTTAAGACATATTTTAAGATTTTATGGGATTTATGAATGTTGCAGGCACATATGACATTTTTCATTGGCACATTACTTGCGATTTCTGTGTATAGTGAGTGTTTTTACTAGATTAAACACCTAAACTTGAATTGGTGAGAAAATATTATAACGTAGGAATAACAAGGATTTAATCTGTAGACCAAGATAAAAACTAAGTCTTCTTTTACAATGCAGAAAAAGAGAAATATGACCGTTATTGTTCGGAAATAATACAAAGTTGAACGGAAATATTTAACATTGAAAATAATTTTTATTGTGCTTTACTTGATATGTTACTTCAAATATGCAATGGCATTAAACACCTTGTTCAAAAGCAGGTTTTTTTCAAACCGGTCCCTACTAAAATACTCTACCTTTTCTGGACTTCTCGTACAACAGTTCATTTTATAAGATTGAAGATTTATTTTTATCTAACGTAATATAATGTGTTTGTAGAATTCAGAATAGTATCAATGCTGTCCGATTAACACCGTGGTTAATCTCTAAAATAAATTTAATTAATCCTAAAATTCAATATCACTTTTCTAAAACAAAATATTTCTACTAAATGTCCAAGTCACAAAAGTTTAATGTTCAATTTTCACACAGTTATAAATTAAATCCAACATATGATGAACAGAATAAATATGAATTTAGCTCTTTATGTTCTCATCATGTGAAGTAAAAATATTCCTTTTACATTTAATCTGACTACATTCACTTTTCCACATGTCTCAGAAGAGCATATGCATAAATACAATTGCTTGTTTCTCCTCTATTAGACGTGATGACAATGTAAAGCCTGGAGAACAATTGACAATTATCTGATAAATGTAGAGTAGACAAATGACCGGACTATTTAATGTTTGTTAAATCCGAATGCATTAAAATGTATTGGTTTTTCGTTGATTGACGACATTAACAAAAATGTCAATTACTGTCAATTAGTAAACAAATACCGTTATCTCTAAACAGGAAACATTTCCAGTATTGGTGTTGAGGTCATATTATTGTGACATTGGAGGAATAGTTTATATTTCTGTGGCGTTCATGTAAATGAGTACAGATTAAACTCTTTGAAAGTTGATGATATTTATTTGTCTAGGTAAACATTTACTTATCAATTGATAAAACTGAACATTAAATATTGTATTTATCACCTTAACCACGGCACAGAAGTGTTATAAAGCCATTTAATAAAACGATATTACACTAGTGTAATAGCACGTGGCGTCATTTATGTTAAGTTAAAGCGCTCTAATGTTAGCGTTAAACCATACCAATGAAAAATAAATAGTCAAAGAAAAATAACTCTAATTAAATATAAGCCATAATTATATTGGACATGGGATAAATAGAATATTATATTCATGTAGATGCAATCAGAAAAATATTAAACTCGTTGAATAAATCGCATATTATTTGTTGTAGAAGTTTTCTATGAATTTAGTATTAGACCTACACTCATTCAATATCGTCTATTTAAATTTAAATTTAAATACAAACAAAAACACACGTTTGTACCATCAATTTCCATTGGGTAAATTATTATGTTTATTTGCACTATATGCACATATCTTGAATATCAACCAAAAATAGTAGTACAGTTAAATTAAGTCGTTTTATCACACACCCGTGCCGATTTTGCGACTCCGTAAATATGGTATTGCACGGCCGTGCATATATTTTGACGTGACGTCATTAGCGTTATACAAACATAGTGTAAAGACGCGCTAAATGTTAGCGTTATACTATAGGCGCGTCGATGAAAAATGACTCTTATTTCACTTTAAACGGTCTATATTTTGGGTATGTGATAAAAAGAATATTAAATTCGTGTAAGTTCATTACTGAATTTATTGCACTCGTTGAATAAAATAATATTATGCTCGCCAGAGGCTCGCATAATATAATTTTATTCAACTCGTGCAATAAATTCAGTATTGAACTTACACTCATTCAATATCCTCTATTAAATAAATATTTCAGACAGTATACATGGCCTTGTGTTAACACTCCTTTGTTCTAAAACCCTCAAGCTTAGGAACATCGTAACCTTCCCTTCACATCTCTGACTCACAAACTTGTTTATCCACAAGATTAATAAAGCAATGCCATAATATCAGTTCTGACCCTTAATTAGGTTTTCATACATTGATCAGAAACGATGCATCTCTATTACTATTAATTGGAAATTCTAGAATCACCAAGTTTAATTAAACAAAGCTCTATTGAAAACAAATATCATAATATCTGTCCTGTTTACATGCATAATAGATTGATCTAAAACAAAACAATAAAACATTTGTAATTATAAAAACATTTGTTGATATGATACACAATGACGTACTGTAAACTAAGCAAATAAATCGTCCAACATTATGAAAATTATCCTAACATTTTCACTATTGCAAATATAATAGTAAAACATTGAGCGGACCCTGCTTAAGATCACAAGCATTTTTCATCTGACTCTTTTACAGGTTTTACTATGAAGTATAATTAAAAAATAATTATATAAACATGAAGCTTACAGGGAAAGAAAACGCGACAATAAAGTTAATATATATTCAGATAGAATAAAATCACAATCGGTTAGCGGTCCAAATCTATATTATGTTCACCGCAACACATATACAGCTTAAACTGAGTTTCTTTATTTGCAAATAACGTTGAGATTCAAAATATTAAAGTCAATTTGGTAGGTCTTATTTTTAAATACATAGTCAGGCTATATTGTCAAGCTATATATAGCTGTTCATCAGAGCCAAAAAACTATGGTTGTGTTTACTTATAATTATCTTAATATTTATGACATTGTCAGAATACCACTTCTTATTATGTTGTCCCTTATATTCAGAACTGAGAAAATCTTTCATAAAACATGCATATTTTCCAACTTTAAATAAGTTTATTGTGTCATAAGGAAATAAAAGTAGAATATTACAATTATGTAAAGTTCTAGATAAAGCATTCACATTAAGATCTGGTGTTTTAGAAACAATGCAAGAATTGTAGATTTGATATGTTCCTGTATTTATGTGAACATTGTATAATATCATATTTCAAGTGATTTATGTATGAATTACCAAAGACAAAGTTTCGTCGAAATAATGCAATAAAATTTAAATTGAATTGAATTGTTAATGAACAAGTGTTTCAAATTCATGTTTGTTTGTTGTTTTTTGGGGATTTTTTGTGTGTGTGTTTTTTTTGTTGTTTTTTTTAATGTTCAAGATATACAAAATACTTAATCACTCTATCAGTACTAATTGCCAAAAAGCAACAGAAAAAAAGATGGTTCAGGTACTTGGCCAAGGAGTATTTTACGCAACTAAATATAAAGTGCTTGAGAAAGAGATATAAAATTACTTCTGGTGCATACCCGTCCCTAGATTTGCCACTAAAATGCCACCCATTTCAATGGTGGAGTATTTAGACAATTTTCCACCAATAATGCCACCAAAACACCACCAAAACGCCACCCAAATCATGAAAATGGTGAAAAATTTGAGCAGGACTGATGTTATATAATTTTCCAGTTAATTCCACCTTTTTTACACTAAATGCCACCAATGAGTGGAAAATTGGTGGAGTATTAAGACAAACTTTCACCATAATGCCACCATTATGCCACCTTAGGGTGGCAAACTCATTTTCCACTAGATGCCACTTGTTTCCACTTATTGCCACCATAATGGTGGAAAATTGGTGGAGTATTTAGACAAATTTCCACCATTATGCCACCATTGAGTGGCAAACTTATTTTCCACCAAATGCCACTTATTTCCACCTTTTGCCACCATAAGGGTGGAAAATTGGTGGAGTATTTAGACACTTTTCCACCATTTTGCCACCAGATAGTGGCAAATTCAGTTTCCACTAAATGCCACCTATTTTCACCCTTTCAGAAATTTTCCACCTTGTGGGTGGCAATAGCTGGAAACTGCTTGAAAGTCACCCTGTACCCTAAATTGGAAACAAACAAATTTTAAAAATAATCCTTTTTAATGTTTCCATATGATATATATTGTCTCAAAAAATAGCAAAACATTAGTCCATTTATTTTCTTCAGTTTATCTTGCTATTCCTGGACGGTTTGAGTTCAGCCCTTTAGGTTGTCGGCAACTTTTCGAGCGCACAATCTAAAACAAAAAAAATTATGAATGATTAATACAATAATTAAAAACATAAGCTTACATTTTTAGCTCGACTATACGAAGAGCTGTCCTACTCGCCCCGGCGTCCGCGTCCGCGTCCAGATTTTAGATTAAAGTTTTGGTGCAGTAAAATATTTTTCACTATAACTTTGTCATTTCTTAAGGTATCAACTTCAAACTTCAAATATATCTTCCTTATCATCAACCACATCATATGTGACAAGGTTCATAACTCTAGCACCAATATTTTCAGATTTATCTCCCCTTGAACTTAGAATTTTCCTTAAAAAATACTATTTTTTACTGTTACTTCCTTATTTCTTAAGGGATCAACCTCATACTTCAAATATATGTACCTTATCATCATCCCAATCTTATGTGACAAGGTTCATAACTCTAGCACCAATAGTTTCAGATTTATCTCCCCTTGAACTTAGAATTTTCCTCAAAAAGTACTATTTCTTACTGTTTCTTCTTTATTTCTTAAGGGATCAACCTCATACTTCAAATGTATTTACGTTATCATCATCCCCATCTTATGTGACAAGGTTCATAACTCTAGCACCAATATTTTCAGATTTATCTCCCTTTGAACTTAGAATTTTCCATAAAAAATATTTTTTTTACTGTTATTTATTTATTTCTAAAGGGATCAACTTCATACTTCAAATATGTTTACGTTATCATCATCCACATCTTATGTGACAAGGTTCATAACTCTAGCACCAATATTACAAGAATTATCTCCCCATAAACTTAGATTTTTTACTAGAAAAATGTTATTTTTTATTATAACTTTTTTATTTTTAAAGGTATCTACCTCAAATTTCAAATACTTATTCCTTATCAACAATTACATTTTATGTGACATTGTTCATAATTCTTGATGCAATATTTACAGATTTATCTCTCTTTGAACTTAGGATTTTCTTTAAGAAATATAATAGCTTCTTTTCTTTTTAAGGTATCTGCTTCAAACTTCAAATATATGTTTCTTATCATTACACAAATGTTGTGTGACAAGGTCCATAACTCTAGCATGACTATTTCTAGCATTATTCCCCTTGATCTTGGAATTTATGTTAACAAATATTATTTTTTTACTATAACTTAATACATAATTATACATAATTGATTTTCCTTTCATAGTTTTGTCCTCCTTACTGCGTCCAGTATTTCATTAGTCGAGCTTCGCTGTCTCCTGTGACAGCTCTTGTTATATGACTATTGGATATTTCTATATTCAATTTGAGTGCATAGATATGATTAAAACACTTTAAAAAACAGCACTGCAGACATGGAAGAATCAGACTTTTCTTATTTACTCCAAGGCAGAAAATATACGCAGAATCAAAAATGATATTTTCATTCAGTTCATTAGTTACCTTCCAAGAACTTAAGTTTTGCCTTGTCTGCACAAGAAGGTCTGGCGACAGACTCTCTGTTCCCTTTCCTCATACCATACAATGAGCGGCCTTTAATCTCTTCTATATTGAATAGCATTCTGAAGAGCTTTGCTGGACCTTTCTCTTTTGAGGCATATGGCTTCAGTTCTGCCATCACTTGGTCCTAAAATATAATTATCAATATCCATAAAGTAAAGACAGAAAATGATTATCAATATCTAATATGTAAAGACAGAAAATGAAACACTTTTATAAGACCTTGGTATATGTATACAACTCTTAAATTTTAAAATAAGAAAGAAATAAAGAAATACAACACATCAACACCAGTGCAGGTTGAGTAATAAATAATCTTCCAGTTTCAGTTCTTAACGCACCTTCATCAGGATAAATATTTGATAAAATTTTCAAGCTAAAATGTACAAAAACTCTAAAATTTGTAAAACAAAATGTAAATGCAAATTAAAGTGTCATAAAGAGTTTGAATTAAAGTAGGTTTGTAAATAGTGACTAATAGCTATATTTATCAAGAACTGAAAAGTGTCTTATTGGGTACTGTGACACTTCTTTCCTATTAATTCTAAAATAACTTTGAATTAACAAGATACCTTTGTAAAGCCACTGAAGATCAAATGTGTTGCACCAGGCTGCTCCTCATTGCTTTGTGTCTGCAAAATAATAATTCTTATTTAATGCTGTTTCTGTTATGAACTGTCATTCTCCTAATAGCATGTTACTCTAGACTGTCTAGTTATGGTTATATAATTATCTACTGCACCATGAAAGCTGAATTACAACAATGAAGGAATGAAACTTACTAATAAATCAGTTACTGTTAATCTGCTCCACATGTGACACACAAGGAAAATTGTATATAGCATGAAAGTTGTAGTAATAGGTACCTCAGGTTATCTATAGTTTGATTGATGTAATATTGTACATAATGATATTGTACTTACTGATTAATTTCTATAATATTTTTCTCAAACTTAAAATTTCTAACATATTGTATTTAAGAAATGATGAAGATCTTCCTACATTCTTTATATTCCTACATTTTTTATATGTACATTGTACATGCAGCTTTCTTTTTAGTCAAGTTACAAACAAAACAAATATAAAACACAATTTTATACAATACCACTTCATATTTTTACTGTCAAAAAACTTAACAGTTTCTGCATAAATAACAATAATTATTGTATGTAAAAGTTGTTTACCTGAAACTTTGACTGGGAATGATTCTGCTGTTTATCTTCTTGTCTACACATTCACACTTCAGTTAAAACTTCTCATTTTTATTTACCATACTAATAAGACTTTAAATGTTTTCTTTGAGAAATCAAAAATATGCACCCTTACATTTTAAACAAAATATCTCCAGAATTGCTACAATATCAATAATTTCCTTTGTGTTTGCAAGCTTTAGCTGACCTCAATTCCTTTGAATTCAAACTTTACAACGGTGTAACTGCATGGACAGTCCATTATAATTTTAAATTGTGAGGGATTTTCCAAAAACCATAACACCCATCATTTTATTTTTTACATTCATTTGAATGTATAACTATATCTAATACCTCAATAGATTGAGTAGAAATAAGCTTTTGAAAGATAATTTAGCATGCTATTTTAAGACAAATTCTACATAAAAACATGTATAATGTTGCCTCTCCCAAAATAATCAAATGAAACATTCTGGTCAGCATGAGTAAACTATTAACCCCCATTCATAGATTACTAGATAAGAGGGCAGTAGTTTTATCAGATCTGAGATGTATGCTGTGTTGTTAAATCTAAGAGGATGCAGTATTTACTAGCTTAAGTAGTTACTTATCCTGATTGTAAGAAATTTATCAGACATTATGACTTATTTACTTTTCACACATTAATTTTTACAATAGATTTAAAGCCTCTGAAAGCATAGCACAAAAGATGTTAGAGACAATAATTTTAAACTCCACATATAACTAAATCTCATTTATGAGAAGTTACAATGCCAAGGAACCCTAACTTTTTATTGCATGATTTGGGGTTTATTGCCATTTTTTACTTCTCTATGCTTAATTTTTGTCTTGATCATTAAGCTTGAAAAATATGGAGATATTGATTAAAAACTTCACAGATATAGATCTTTTCTAGTAACGTGCTGTGTTTAAGAACCATAACTCTTTGCATACTTTTGGAGTTATTGCCCTTTGCATTTTTCACTTTAATTATTGTTAGCATTACATGAAAAGTGTTAGTACTCACCAGATATCAGTTTAAAGTAATTATGAAGAGACAATTTATTATGTCAATTAGAAGAAAAGACAAAAGTCAAACTTTATACAAGATTGACATTAAATATCATAGAAGAAGCAACAAACTTTATGCAAAGATATGCATTTTCTGGGCATAGAAGAACATTTCAACTATTTAATGTACAGATTATAACTAAAGAACAAAGTTCACTTTAAAAGCTGTAATTTTATTTTACAAGCATAGAATGGAACATAAACATTTTGACTTGAAAGTCAAATTTTACATCCCTAAAGAAAAGTACTGCCATAAAAAATGGGAAGTTAAGTAACCCCATACTTTTCTAATTTTTCCTGATCATAATTATATGTGTTTAACGCCTGGAAAAGTGATTTTACGTCCAATTTCTGTGTCTTTTCCTGCTACTTTACAGCTGGAATTATCATACCGTTACTGTGAGGCAGTGACTTTGTATCAGAATTGTGTTCATGGCATTCTAGTATGTTTAAGAAATATGAGTTTCTGATAAAATTTTCTAACTGTTCAACTTCAATAAATTATATTTTTGATAAAAAGTTCACTTGATACAAACTATAAACAGATTTATTTCAGTTTGGAGCTTTGACTTAAATAAATCTTAAACCCTGCAATGCACAATTATTAGATTTCTCAGTTTTTTCCACTAATTTTTATACAACCCAGAAAATAGTTAAGAGTTCCCCTTTTCGACTAAAAGTTGTTCACAAAATTTTCTAAGTTTTTTTCCACTATTTTGCCACCCAGAAAATAGTTAGAGTTTCACTTTTCCACTAAAAGCCACTCATTTTCCACCTTCAAAATAAACTAAGTTTCATTTTTCACCAATTTCCACCCTTTTGCCACCATAAAAAAAGTCTATGTTCAAATTTCCACTCAATGCCACCTAAATGCCACCAAAGGATAGTGGCATTTGGTGGCAATTTTGCCACTACAGTGGAAAAAGAGTGGAATTTTGTCATTTTCCAGTTAATGCCACCTTTTTTACACTTAATGCCACCCTTTTCAGTGGAAATAGCTGGCAAGTAGTGGCAAATCTAGGGACGGGTAATGGCCCTTTGACAACACAAAACAACATAACTAAAGTAATAAAACTTTTCAATTAATCATCCAGGCAAGATACAAATCTACTTTGCAGCAAACAAACAGACGTCTGAATAATAACAGCCAATCACGGACGATTTAATTCAAAAGGAGTTAACTGGTATCAAATATTTGACACGGCACGTATTGGTAATTCAATAAGGATAACCCATATCTAATGATGCAAAATAAAGCGATCTGTCTAAAATACGAATTCATGTTACATAATGCTCATTTTTTCTATCTTTTTTATATAAAAAATAAAATAAAAAGATAATGATAAGATAATAAAAAATATAAATTGAACGGAATTATGGAAAATGTGAACTTATTTTGACTTGCACCTGTTCACTGTCTATATACCCTTAAAAGGGCAAAATGTCACTTTAATGTGACGTCAGTGAATTAGAACTTCATACTTATACATGTCTTACATGAATGGACAATTAATTATACACTAACTGTGTTTGTATCATAGTTTGGGGACCTTTCTGTTGAAAATATATCAGAGTAAAATCGTATACATATTCATGCACAGTGCGTTAACTGGAGTTGAGGTATTAGTCACCTGCACTCCAGAGCATGCCCATTGATTGGCTCAAATTGCTGGAATTTATTTATTGTGACGGCAGAGAAAAGGAAATCGACATAAATTTCATATTCAGATGCTCGTTCCTTGGCTACATTTTTCTTGGGTTTCATATTGTGACAACAGGGAATGTGTTTTTATGTTTGACTATGATACAAAAGAGAAAGAACATCAAAACACTCGGCAATCTGATTTATACTGGGGGGGGGGCTCTACATTCACATATGGCGCGTAAATATACATACTTATTGCAATGAAAACTTTATTTGCAAAATTGTTTAATGGGTTTTAAGTCACTCTGACATTGTAATGACAATATGGATATTTTTGGCAGCTGTTTACAACCAACGTCGCCCCTTTACAAACCAAAAGAAATGAAGTACATTCATTTCTAGTTGTTGTTTTTGAAAAAGTTAATGTGACTATAAAACCAAACAAAATCAGGAAACGTTGTGTTGATGCTAGGATATTTCAAAATGCTGATAATTTGTTTATATAAAAAACGATTGAAAAGTTATCATAAATTCTTAATTGTATGTAACTAGAGGGCAATGAACCATCACTGAAAAATATTGTTAAAGACCGACGTCAATTTAGTGTATCACTCTCGTAAAACATCCTAAAAATCATGATTGAATCAACTTTTATTCTAATGAAACAAGACATGAAGAAATTATAGCATCTACGTTTACGGCAGGCAAATAAGAAATAACATACATACATGTGATTTCCATGCGCGTTATGAATCCAAGTAGTATTTAATTACGGTTTCAAATATGTAATGAGTATAGGGTATAAAAATATTCATGGCAAATATAATCATTATTAAGTATCGTCTTGACTACTAAATTAATTTACCTTTTCCGGACTTTTTGTGCAACAATTCATCTCAGATGTTATATTAGCAGCTGTTGAAACTTTTTTTCCTTTTAAAGTAATGTTTATTAATGCAATTTCGTAATGTTCCCTTTAATTATAAGGAAAATAGAAGCATCGGAATTTGAGAAGAAAAAAATTAGTTGGCAACTCTTACGATATCAACATCTAGATCCTTATAATGAGCACCTGTAACTGGATACGACTGCGTGCTTGTCAATATAGCTATATAAATGTTAAATATCCTCGGACATAATAGCTTGTAGATCCAATTATAACATGGAAAAATGAAACACTGTCAATTTAAACTAGTCTTTATTAATTCTTAGGTATATATTCCATTTCAAATCAGTTTAATTATAGATTTTCATTTTATAACAATACCCGTCTTGTATTTAATTTGAACACATCCGCTCTTATATTCTAAATGACTCAGTTCACCATATGTATAAATACAATTGCTTGTTTCTCCTCTTATAGACGTGATGACAATGTAAAGCCTGGAGAACAATTGACAATTATCTGATAAATGTAGTGTAGACAAATGACCGGACTATTTAATGTTTGTTAAATCCGAATGCATTAAAATGTATTGGTTTTTCGTTGATTGACGACAGAAACGAAAATGTCAATTACAGTCAATTAATATACAGATACTACTATCTCAGAACAGGAAACATTTCCAGGATTGGTGTGGAGGTCAAATTATTTGTAATATAGGACAAAGCTATATATCCTTTTGTACCTGTGATCCCCTTTCAGAATTATTTTTATTTAGCTTTGTTTTCTCCTTTGAATGTACTTAGGACCGTACACCGCTTTGTATTGGATTACAAGAACCTCACACTAAAGGTTCAATAACAACTTGTGCCAAAACGTATCTGCACATGTCTTACATTTAGAATTAAATACCATTTGTATGTTTAAATATTGGGAGGGATAGTCGCTTGTTTGCATTTACCACTGCCTTCCTTGAACGAACTCCTTTAAAACGAGCAAACAACAATTTTGCAGTGCTTCATTCTTTTACTATTTTATATGACTGAGATTTTATTGTATATATGTATGGTGGCAAAAGATGCAAGTTATATTTTTAAACATAAATATGTAGTTTTATATCAGACGTGTTCTTTTTCTGTGACAACAACGCATATCACTCTTCATGTCATATCTTATATAAAAAGTTCAAGTTTGTATATGACTGTATAAAGTCAATAAAGTTATGTTGTTTTCAAAAGCATCCCATCTTTAGAAAATAAAAACAGAACAAATATGATTTCAATATTGATTTCACAGACGTTCTTATCTATTAAACCAAGTTAAAAACAATGTCCAATCATTGACTAAAACCCTATAATTAATGTAGTATTTCCTTATCATGTCCTCTTATCATTAACAGACTGGCTTTAAGTTTTATATTTGAACAAATAAAAAAACACATCTCTATTATGACAAATTGGAAATTCTAGTATTCGTAAGTTTAATTAAACAAAGCTATATTGATAACATAACAAATACTGGCTTAATACCTCTGTTTGTATACATAATTTATGGATTTAAGAACATGATTTGATATCATTATATAATGTATGCATTTTACTCAAGGACGCACGCCATTCTTCATTAATGTAATTGAGCTTAAGCGGACACTTGGGTGAGATATGATAATTAAAAATGTCATTATTCATTACATGGTCCTTAAATGTAAAACATTGACTCTATATAACTTTAAGCTGCATGCCTCCAGATGAGCAAATATTTCAAACAAATCCACCCTATTTTAAGAAAAGTAAAATTATTCAAGTTATAATTAACATGTTACTTGCGATTAATGACTGATCTTGCAGTATTTACTGCGTTACTAAGGCAATTAGGGCTATGTGTTGCATATTTGACCCTTTTTGGTAATTTACATGGATTGAAAGTGCCGTTTGCAATGTGTAGATTACTTTCTTTGTTCACTTTACAATATTTTAGTTTTTAATAAATTTTCAAAATTATCATGAACATGAATCTGGTGGCATGCTGCTTTAAGGGTCACCAGTTATGTAATTTAATAACAAAACAATTTTTAATGTATTTCATACACGAGCAATTGTTCTTGTAAAGCAGTGACCATCCGGGTACTATTCAACTGACGCAATGTGACTTTAAGAGTGTCGAACTGACAATAGTCAACAAACAGAAACAATAAAACAAGAAAATCATTAAGGAAACGTGGAATATGCTGTATTTTATTCCAATATTTTGTAATATAAAACCCAGTAGTCATTTAAAGTGCCTGTTGTTCCAAATGAATTTAATATTAACCGTGAAACTTTATGTAACATATACCACAACAACTCACGAATAACACGATTGTTGCATAACAATGTGCGTAATATCAATAAGAAGTATATATTAAAATATACTCGGGCGAGGTTAAACTGCTTTTACTTGCAAAGGTTATTTCGGAGTTATAGCATTTAATATTTAAATCTATATCACTACAATATTAAATGAAACTGTCGTGTTACCGCACATCTACATATTGATATATTCTTTAATGATATGCAAAGATATATCGAAATTTTGAAATTTATATCAATTAAACACATCAATAATCATAGGCTCATAAACACTGAATATAATTTACTGAGTGTACCAGAAAATGTCGGGATTATTATTTTTAATTTAGTGTCGTTCGGTATGCACATGTGTTTCGGGATCGTGAACGTTATTTGTAGTCTGGTCATTTTACACAAAACATAGATTGTCATTTATAATTCAGTATATTTCTATTCACTAGAGAATTAATGAAAATAGTAAAAGCATTGTAAAATGTTTATTGGAAGAAAGTTCACAGAACCCAAATACCTGAGAAATTTTAACTATCCGATACTCCTTTAGATTATTTTAAAATATGGAAGTGTATACGTCTCTGAAAGATCCTTAATATTACTTACAAGTGTATTTAAGTATTTTTCAAAATAGTAAAGGACATTTCCAGATTTCAA